CCAAGTGTTGGGGTAGCTCCTCCTCGCTCTCATCTGCTCGTAGAATCAGCGTTGAATTTGTTTACGAAGCTCTGGCCGTGCCACCAATTAACCCTTGTGTGCCTGTGTGTCTGTGTGGGTCTCTTTTTCCCACTTTGCATATGGAAAACAATTTGTTTTGGCATGCGGGGAGCTTTCCCAACCAGTTCTGGCTGCACAAAAAATGCAGCACTTTGTGAAGGTGTCAACACTGGAGGAGACGATGGGATACCCTTGGGGGGGGATCTACTTCTAACATTTTGGATTGAGTTACCTTTAATAGATTTATACTAATAATTCCGTGGGTTGCTTCCTCTAATTCTGTTTATTTATCCTAGTTTTCATTTTGGGAATATTCTCTTCCTTTTAAGTTAAATAAATTTAATTTATTTTTCCATATCTGCAGCTTTCGTCTGGCACATCCACGGCCTCTACCCTTTCCTTTCCTTTCCCTTCCTTAGGTCTCGAATCGAATACGAAACAAATATGTTTCATTGTGCAAACATTTTTGTTCGTAATTTGTGTGCGTTTTTTTTTGGTTGTTGTATTTTTTGTATGTGGACACAGGACACTGTTTGCACGGCTTGATTAATTAAACGTGGGAGCAGAATCCTTTGGCGGAACTACCAACGTTTTTTGGGGGCCACCCACAAGCATAGCGCGCGTCTGTAGGAGTACGTGAGATTTTGATATATGATTGGGGGCACCAGAGAGCGAGAGCGAGAGCGAGAGAGAGAGAGTGGGAGAGAGAGATCGTTTGGGATGCCGTAATGGTGAAATGCCGGCGATCAATTTCGTACTCCTCTGGCCTGGCATTTCATCGCATGATAAATGACAAGTTTCCTGCTGCACTTCTCCAGCACGAGGAGGAGCAGGAGCAGGCGCATTTGGTTTGTATTGTTTGTCATATTCAAATGCCAAAATATTGTCATTATCTGACATGTTTTGTTGTTGCTGTTGCTGTTGTTGCTGTCCATTGTTGGGGATCATTTGTCTTTGGTTTGGCATTGACTCGTACGCATGCCTGCTCCTGGGGTGGCCTCCACTGCAGCCGGCCACTGCCAGCCAGAATGTATCTTTTGGCTAATGCATTTCTGGCCACTCTTCCGCTCAGTCGTTCCCCCCAGTCAGTCAGTCAGTCAGTCTTTCGCTTGGTGGCTGCTGTTGTTGTTGTTGCATTTCAATTAGACGGAATCCGCCGCATTCGAGGCGGGGTCTCTCAGTCTCTCTCTCAGTCTCTGTCGTCGTCGTCGTCGGTGTCTTTTGGTGAGTTGCTTAACAGCCTTGCGGTGTCTTGACCCGCAGTTCAAATTAATAATTGTTTTTTTTGTTGTTGTTTCTCTATCGACTCTGCAGCCGGCTGCAGAGACACCTCAATGACATTTACATAAAAATAATGTTCGTTTTATGGTCGGGCATTAATAAGCACAAAATAATGTTAATAATGTCATCATTGAGGCAGTGCCAGTGCCAGTGCCAGAGGAAGACCTACCGCTGAGGTATCCACCAGATGCATACAGTGCCAGCTCCCACGGGCTCCCCGGCTCTCCCCCAATTTCCATAATAACAATAATATATTTATGGCCGTTTTGATATTGCTCATAAATGGAATTTCAATTCAATTTGCTTGTTAACAAATTAAAGATTTAATGGCAGCAATTGCATCCGGAGTCCAGAGCCCGTAGTGCCCGGAGTGCCCAGCCGAAAAAGGCACCGCAGCTGGAGAGGACCTTAGAGCCGTCGCCAGATACTTGTCATAGACGTGCGACATTGCCCATTAGCTGGGTGGGGGGTGGGGAGGTTCGTTTGAATCTGGTTATTCAACTGGCCAACGAGAGGGAGGGAGGGAGAGGAAGAGACGGGCGGTGGCCGTGTTGGCCAACTCAATTAGCGGAGCATTGAGAGCAGTTAGCGGCCAACTAACAGCTAAAAAGGTGCAAATCGCCGGCCAAACAAAGGCGCAAGCAGCGCAGCAATTAGCAGCCAACAAATTGAACACACACTCGCGGACTCGCTCACAATGGGAGTCACAAATATTTGGCCAGATCTAAGCGCCAGGGGATGCGCTGCTAAAGGGGTCTCTCGCGATCCTATGAGATCGGATCCGATGGGATGGGTTGGAATAGCATGGGATGGGGCATATACGCAAGCCGATTATCAAATGCGTTGAGTCAACATAGCATTGACGTCTCGAGTTGACGGCTTCGCGGATGATGATGACGATGCTGACGATGATGATGATGATGCCGAGGCCTATGCCATGTCTGACTCTGAGACTCTGGGAGATCATATCCCCTCCTCCCTCCTCCCTCTGCTCTTTCTGGCCATGTTGGCGTTGACTTCTGCTGAAAATCCAAGCCAAGTGTGCTGGGCATTTGAATGTTTGTTTAGGCTGTGCCTGAGACGGAGTCTCAGATGGAGTCGGATTCGGAGTTGGAGTTGGAGACTTGGCAGCCCCATAATGTGAGATGAGATACTCTTGCGAGATACTCCTCATGCCATTGGTAGCGCCAGAGCGGCAGCCAGAGCGGGAGAGCAGGAGAGCGAGAGAGCAGCACTTGGAGCGAGCGCCTGTCTGTTGGCCATAATTGAGTGCACTTTCCATGGAACTGGCAGCAGCAGCAGCAGCAGCAGCGATTATGAAATGCCAACAGCCACAGAGCAGCCACACTGACAACTCTCTGTAACTGGGGGACTGAGGGACTGGAGACTGCCGCTGCAAATGGCGAACATCAGTGGCTCGTAATCGTAATGCTTAAGTATTTTATATTCCATTTGATGGGGAAGTTTCCATTTCCATTTCAGTTTATTCGCATTCGCATTCGCATCACCATCGTAAATCAATTGATAAAGCGAAGCGGAAACAAGTGGCAGCTCCAATTGCCGCGAGGGGGGAATAAATCTAGCAAATGCCGCCACCACACCACATTCTACGACATTTTTACGTACTAGAGTCGCGGCGGCGGCGGCGGCAATTAATACTACAAAACTGCAAAATGCACCACACCACTACACACCACACACCACCCCCAAAAATGCAATTAGCGATGTGTATGACACGTGTCCGAGGCCCCTCGATATCAAAGGGTACTCCCTCCCCTCCCCACCACCATTTCAGACAGAGCGCCTTCAGATTCTGTATTTTGTAGTGAACGTCAAAGGCGCATAAATCACGGATGCGACTGCCGCGGCAGGGTATGCGCCCACACAGACCGTATCGAGAAGGGGCAGGAGGGGGCATATGCCACTGACTTATGGAGCATATGTGAGTTTTTGTGGCTTTTTAATAGCTCGCTCGATGGATCGCAACCCCCTGCCCCCAGCATCTGCCATAACTCCACTTCCATCTGCATCCCCATATATCCATCTCCAACTCCAACTCCAGTCTCGACTCCCGAGCTAAATGCCTCCCTACATTGTATGCGCCATTGGAGTGCCATTTCGTTGGCTGGCTGTCGGAAAGTGAAATTTAGTGTGTCACTTGGCAATTTCTGCTAATTAGAAGTGTTGAAAGTGTTTGTGCTTTGGTATCGAATCGAAACCAAACAAAAAATGGTAGTAATAATGAAAGACTTGGGACTTGGCTGAGTGGGGGTAGTGGGAATACCCTTGAGAGAGAGAGATTTGAGCCCTTGGTGTAGGTACTCCTGATATCTATATACAATAAATAATCAATTGTGGAATTGTGAAGGTAATTGGTTATTGCTTTGATGGTTCCAACTAAAATATGTACACTCAATTACTCGTACTGCTGCCTTTGCGATTATTACTCACTTAAACACGCTACTTTCCAATAAAGATAGAGTCGTGAGCGGCAGTTAGTTACCTTACCTTACCCCACAATCAAATCGATGAATCAATATACTTTACTTAAATGATTCATTAGAGGGCTAGCCATTAAAATTCATTGCATGAGTACTTTGAAATTAGATAATTCCCCAAGCAAAGGGTATTCAAAGTAAGCACCGAAAAAACCTCAATGTGTATTCGTTTTTATTTGATTGGATTTGCAGCTAAACGATTGCCGGCAAATACGTCTATAAAAAGTCTGACAGATTGGGGCAATATGTCTGTCTGTCTGTCTCTGTGTCTGTGTGTTGTGTGTTTGTGTGATGTATGGCTAATGGGCAAATTGTCTAATTGGTTCATTACGTGCACAAATGGATTTGCGCCTCTGTAATACGGCTGATTTAAATCCGCCTTGAGAGACATGCAAGCTACTCTCCTCTCCACTCCTCTCCTCTGCTCTCCACCAGCCCGCTCTGCGATCGTCAAGCTGCTGCAATTAGCGTTTGGCATCGATTCATATTCGTATTTCATATGTAGGCAGGCAGCGAGGCAGCGAGGCAGCGAGCCAGCAATGTGATCATCGGATCGACGGGCATTTATGTACATCAACGCTTGCCAGTAAATGTCAGCTGCCCATCTACCCCAGAGATCCCTACCCCATCGAGTCGAGTATCTTCTATGCACATTCTCGCATTCTGCATTTATTTTCAGCAAATTAACGCCGCTCACTGCAAGATCCGCGCCAATAAATCATTTGATGTCCGACTCCCTGCGGCTTTTCCTCTCTTTTTTGATGGTTCGTCGCGTCGGTGGGGCTGCTGCTGCTGCTGCCGCCGCCGTCTCTGTTGTCTTTTCGCAGATATTTGTTTATATGCAAAATTTGTGTCTTTAATTAAACGGCGGAATGGCAGTGAGGAGTGGTGTGGTGTGGTGTGGAGGAATATTCTGATTCGCAGCCAATGCTGTTGCCGTCACTCAGGCCAGACACTGCCCCGATTTTGATTCTGATTGTGCAATTAGCGGCATTACTTAGTAGTCACCACCCCGCAGCCACCATCCTCCTGCCTGGTGACAAGTTTACATGACTTAAAAATTCCGACGGCCTTTGATCTGACTGCAGGGAATAGGGGATGAACCAAAGTCGCCAATAATCTGCGAATGAAATTCGCTATAAATTAAATCGATTTGGGCTTTTTGTTTTAACATTTTTTAAATCTTTTTTTATTCATTTTTTTATATGTTTTGTATAGATTTTCTTTTCTTGAACTTGTTTTAGCACATGCATTTCCTTGGAATTTTCTTTCAAATATTTTTGTTGCATCTCTTTTGTGCGCTCTTATTGGATCCATAACAAGACTTTACTTTTGCCGACTTAAGAACTAAAAATACTCATTCATAGCTATCCTCTGTGGGGCTGTATTTAAACTACAAAATTAAGCTAAGGGGAACAGTTAAGTTACTTAATTTACAGAGATTAAATAGACGATACATATCATAGGTGCATATATATAAAGTACTTTCCATTACATGTATCTTTTGTGTAGGAATAAACGCTTGAAAGTTGAAGCTTTTTTAGGTGTTAGAAGAATATTAGATTTGGGATTGATTTCGGATATAGCATAATACTTTCCGCTGTCCGCCATCTCTCCGGGATGGTTTAAATAAATACGCCAACAACTTACATATCGAATTTGCTAGTTATATAACTTAATGTATAGGCTAGCTGATAGATAATATATTACAATTATATCACATGAGAACCATTTGTACACCCCAACCCCAACCCATCATTTGTATTGCACACACCCCCTCGGCACGCACGCCCCCCTTTTTAGGGGATCTGGCCATTCATGCGCATCTCGAGCTCCTCCTCCTCTTTGGTCAGTGGCACCGTCGTGTGGTTGTACAGTCCCTGGGCCATCAGCTGGAGGGCGAGGGGGTTCTTGGAGCCGTTCGACTTCTTGATCTTGGCCCGCTTATTCTGGAACCAGATCTTGATCTGGGCCTCGTTCAGGCCCAGCTCTCCGCTCAGCTGCTGGCGTCGCCGTTCCGTCAGATAGCGATTCTCATTGAACTCACGCTGCAAGTAGAAAAATAGAGAGAGAAGAGAGTCGGGGATGAGTACGGGAAGGCACAGATACGGATGGTATGGGATCTATGGAGGTTGTTGCTGGGCTGCTGGGTTTGCTGGGTTGCTGGGTTGGTAGGTAAGGTAGGTAAGGCAAATCAATTATTTGCGGTTTGAGTTGAAAGAGGCACCCCGAAGACTGCCAGAAGATGCAAGTCCGTGTGAGATATGAGCGTGTCTAATTGGTTAAGTACGGCCCGGGGCAGGACATGCGGTTGCCAGGATGCAATCGCCGCGGGGTTCACGGAAAATATGTGTAAATATTTTGCTGCAAATATGACACAACAAGGGAATCTACTCGGAGCTAGTCTAGCTATGGATGCCACATGGCTCTATGTATGTGATGCTTACCTTGAGGCGGGCCAATTGCTCGCTGGAGAAGGCCGTGCGGGGTCGCTTCTCATCATTGGTCTTGTCCTTTGGCTGTTTGGGGCGGCGGTAGCGGGGTCCTTTAAGTACAAAAAAAGAGAAGAGAAAACAGAGTTTAGTTTTGGGGGCATTTGCATATAAAAGTCTCACATGTGATTAATAATATTAATGATTTAATTAGCATATGCCTCTTTTTTTGTCTTTCGTTCTGTCTTTCTTTCTTTCGCTATTTCCCCGTTCCTGGCGTGACGGCGGGGAAGTGTTCAATTTGTCAGCTGTCAGAGGGCTGCCGGGTTGGGTCTAACGAACCCGAGTCGCCTCGTGTCAGGCAGGCATATTTTAGGCAAATTTTAAGCCGTCTAATTAGTGGCGTTCTCGGACGTCCCCAGTTCTCAATCTAATTGGCAGTGCCATCCATCGAGACAGAGAGAGAGAGTGAGAGAGAACAGAGTGACTGTCAAAGTGCTTATTAGATTTCCACACATTGTAAATTATAATTAAATTGACTCGAAGCGCGATGATGCTTTGATTAATTCCCATTGGGGAATGGCAGCACTGAGCAGCTCTCTACACTCAACGTTAATCTGGCTGGCTATCAACGCCTCGTTTATGGGATGCCATCGATTGCATCCACACCAAATTAAAAAGCCATTTCCACTCATAAAAAAGCACTTAACTTGTCAATTAACACAGACTCCAAGAAAAGAAAATCGTGAAAAGCGAAAATGGAGGGAGGAGTAGAGTTTTCCTGCGGCTTCTCTCTCTCTCTCTGTCTGTCTGTCTGTCTCTTTGTGTGTGCCCCCGTCAATCGTCAGCACATTTTAGGTTCCCTGCGGCCCTGTGGCGTGTGTGCGTGACTTCTGACCTTCGATCTACGATCTTCTGGTCGTGTACTCCCACTCCTACTCGTCCCGGCCGCTTCCTTGTCGGCGATAAGCAAACGACGATATACGGCCCGGTCGCTGCCTGCGCTCCATGTTGTCACATAAAGTGTCGCCTCTTCAAACGTAGCGCTGCGCTGCGCTGCGTGCGGCCCTGAATCGGAATCGGATTCGGATTCAGAATAGGAGTCCAAGTCATTGCAGTCATTGCCATTGTCCGCGTGTCTCCTAATTGTTGCAGTGTCCTTCGAATTTATGACCCAAAACAATGATGGATAAAAGAATGCCGCGCCGCCGCCGCTCCTTGGGGGTGGTCTACGCGCGTAACCTGATCCCGTTCTTATGTCTCACATAGAATCCCACACATTCATTCCCCTGTGGAACACCATCCTTATGCAGTTCCCCTTTTGGCAGTGTCCCTCAACCCTCACTTATTAGAGATTGTTTTAGCGGCTTCTACTAACCTGAGCTGGGACGATCGCTGTAGCGGGTGCAGTAGACCCAGGCGGGCCACATCTCGTTCTTGCCGCCCTCGGTGGTCGTGGAGCCCGTCTCGGAGCGTGTGTCGTCCGAGGACTCCATGCCAGAGTCGCGGCTCACGGCGGAGGGTGGTGGTATCGGCTGGGGCTGGGGGCTGCTGGCATTGGCCGCTGCACTGCCGCCCAGGCGACTGCTGGGCGAGGAGTTCAGGGAGCTGGTGGCCGAGGAGCAGCCCGAGGAGCTGGAGGATGAGGAGCTGGTCGCCGTCGAGGTGGAGCTGATCGTGGAGGCGTTCGAGGCGGGCGGCGGACTGGCCAGGTTGTTGGCCAGACTGCTGGAGCTGCTCAGCTGCGGGGGCAAGGTCGTGGTCATGGTGGGCTGACCGATTTGGGAGACGGTCTTGCAAAGGGAGCCCAGGGCGGACTTCTCCGCGCAGGGTTCGCTCATCTTGGAGGCTGGCGGGATCACCGTGTTGGCGGCGCTGCGGCGCAGTCGGCTCTGGACGATCTCCTCGTGGATGCGTGGGTAGGCGGCCGGGTTGAAGCAGTTGAGAAAGTTTGCCCGCTCGATCATCATGGCGGCGGTGGCTGCAGCGGCGGCTGCCTGCTGCTGCCGACTGAACTCCAGTAGATCCACCCGCGTGAAGGCGGAGGGCGTGGCGGCGGCTGCCCGACTGGCCTCGAAAGGCCGGAAAATGCTAGCAGCCGCGGCCGCAGCAGCGGCCTGGGACTCCAGCGAGGCGTTTGGGGATCCGGATCCCGGCTGCTTCTGCTGCTTGGGTGCGTCTCCGAAGCGATCGCTGAGGATATTCGAGATGGAGAATGCCAGCGAGGGCTTGGCCGTGGACTGCTGATGGGCTGGCGGGGGCAGGCGTCCGGAAGCCGTGTCATCCACATCCACATCGATGTCGTCGTCGTCCTCATCCTCGGTGGCCGTGCCGTTGGTGGTGTGCGTCTGGTTGTGGAAGCTGCCGTCGCCCATAATGGAGTCGCCCTCCTCCTCCTTGATGGTCAGTGGCGTGGACGAGGCGGGTGTGGAGCAGGAAGCAGGCGAACCGCTGGCGCTCAGACGCTGCTGCAGTGCAGCCGCGTGGGCGGCGGCTGCTGCCGCCTCGAAGGCCACTGCCGGATGGGGGAAGACACCGGCACTGGCAGCCAGCTGCTGCTGGTGGAGCTGCTGGAGCTGTTGCAGCTGGTGCAGGTGCTGCAGCTGTTGCTGCTGCTGATGGTAGAGCGCGGCCACCGGCGCGGGTGGCGGGCTCTGCTGGGGATGCTGCAGACTCATGTCGAGGGCGGTGATGATGCTGCTGGTGCTGGTGCTGCTGATGCTGGTGGTGGCGTAGGGATAACCTGGTGGACTGGGCGCTGTTTGTGGACTGCAGCGATCCTCAAGGGCCATTTGTTGGGAACCACGGAGCCACGCACTTGTCTGTCGCTTGTCGGTAGCGCCTAATGGAGACTTCACTCTCTAGTCACACGATTCGCGATGCACTTGGCTTGCACTTGGTTTATCGTTTCGTACTCCTGCTACTGGCTTCTTGCTACTTGCTACGTCTGTTATTGTTTTCGTACACTTTCTACTACTCTGCTACTCTGCTACGCGCACCGCACGTCTGTTCTGTTTGAGCGCAACGAGAAAATTAACTAATCACTGCTGCCGGGCTCGGCGACGAAGCAGCGACGAGCAGCAGCGGCCGACGACGACGAACCGATTGAACTGTCAGCTGAGCGCAGGTCGGAGCGAGCGAGAGAGCAGCAGTCCGAGGCGGGCCAGGGCGTGCGCGAGACAGAGCGAGCACCACTATGCCAGCAGAGTGGTGCGAGAGTGAGTGAGTGACAGACAGCAGCCAGCCAGCCAGCCCAGTGTGACAGTGACGATGAAGAGACGCGACACTGGACGTGGACTGGAAAAGAGACTGGACTGGACTTGGACCTGGGAACTCTGATCGATTTTCCACTCTCTCTCTTTCTCTCACTCTCTCGGAGCGTATGCTGATGTCGATGCTCTGTCACCTGCCAGAGCAAACCGACAACAAATGCTCGCGAACCGGTTTCGCTGCCTCGCTCACTCCGCCTTCGCTGGAGAGCCACCCCACACACAACCCCCCACCCCGGGTGCTTTTTTCTGTGTCGGCGAGGGGGGGCTTGTTAGGCCCCGATATGACTTTATTATGCGCGCGCTGGAGCTGTCATGCGGTTGACAACTGTGTCGCCTGCGTTTGCGTCTGCGCTGCTCTCTCTCTCGCACTCTCGCTCTCTCTGTGGGGGCGTTGCCCTGAGCGTGCATATAGCTGTGCCGCTCGCACTCGTACTGGCTTACCAAGCAAAATGGCTGACTGTTGGTTTTCTTAGTTGATTTGTCAGATGTTTTCTTTCTCTCCATCTCTGTCTGTCCCTGTTCCACACTCTCCCACCCCACCCACACGTGCAGAGCAAGAGAGAGAGGGAGAGGAAGAGAGCGAGAGAGGCCACCTCTCATAAGTATTTAGTTTTTGTTGATTTTGTTTTCGGGCGCGACGTTTCAATCTGCGTCAACGAGAGTCGGGCCTACAACTTTATCGACACCCATGAGTGAGTGGCACCGTCAGAGGGGAAATGTGGTTGGGCTAGGGGGGGGATGCATGTACGTGTGTACGTGGTGTGGCAGCCACTAATTGTTATAATTTAAATAGGAACCCTGTACACCCCGACCCCTCCACACCCATCATCCAAAATCACTTGCCATTTCTCACAAAAACATGCCAAAAATGGCATCAATTTGGGGTCTGCAACAATCATGATTGGCAACAATTAAACGGTTTAATGTTCCATCGCGGTATCCATCCGTGGAGACTGACGCAATGTCAGTCATTGATTGGTATTTAATTGAATTTTAATTGATACTTGGCAGCCTTCTTCTGCTATTGAAAATCAATTCGAAAACCAATGGGAACTATTGTGCCAGAAATTACTACATCTATTACATCATGCTTAGCGTCAAAATCGACTCGGAAAGGTGTTAGAAATGAATGCCATTTGGCATTGGGGCCCCTCCACAATGGCAGTCAGATCGTCGTGGGGCTCTAATCAGGCGCCGAATCTACGAAATGTGAAACATGTGCTGCCAGATTCCGATTCCGTGCATATATCCCCTGATATATGGCACATAAATCACATAAAAGCCAAATCAAATACTAAAATCGCTAATGAATTGCCTTATATTGGGATATTGCTGCGACTGGAATTATTTGTGGTGTGTTGTTAATTTTGCATAATAAAAGCATCGCCTCGATGGAGATTCGTTGGAGATGGAGAGGAGATTCCATTCGTGGTGGTGGGTCACCTGTGATTTACGGTCTATCCATGTTATGGCTCAGGTATTTCGGATAAGTGGTAAGGATTTAATTATAGAATAATCAGTAGATTAGAGCCACTCCTCCCCCGTACGCCCACTCGTTTCCGGTTGCCATTTGCCATAATCAATGATATCGATTCCAATTTGGAGCAGACTCCGCTGAATCGCTCGATCGAACCTGTTTCCATCGAATCGCATCAATGGCCACAATTTATGCAATTAATATGCGCATTTTTATTGAAATTTTAGATAAATAAATAAAATATTTAACAATCTTTCGAATGAACTACTTTTTGTTTTGGTCTTGTGGCTCATTGGAACGGAACTGGCACTGGAACTAAAACTGGAAGGCGCTCTCTCGCGCTCTCGCTCTCTGTCTCTCTCTTGCGCTGATCATTTCCGCTCTCTCGAAATTCAAATATTGTTGTAACTAGCTGTCCCGCTTGCACAACTACCCTCTGTCTCACTCTCACTCGTTCGCTCTCATGCTCTCTTTGCGCTCTCACGCATGACTTCAATGGCTGCTCTTCTCTACTGTGCTGTTGTTGCTGTTTGCTGTTGCTATTTCTGTTGCTCTCAATGCCGTCGGCAGCTGTTGATTTTTCCGCTCAACGCGCACAACCAACCAACCAACCAACCCCATGCCCATTACACACCCTCCCCCCACCACATAACACAGCTCTTTCCGCTTTGATTGCCATGATTTTCAATTATTACCGTTGTCATGTTTGTTCAGCATTTGACGCGACGGCAACCGCAACCACAGAAGGGTGGTGGGGAGTTAGGTTAAGAGCCGCCGACAGTTGCGTAAAAATGCGTTAATTAAAGTTTTCAACTTGTTTCTGGCGCTGCTGTACTGCTTGTACGGATGGACTGCTGGGCTGCTGCTTTTGATTGTATTTCCAGTTTTGGGCTTTGCCCTTAATGATAATGATGTGTCCGTCCGTCCGCCCGTCCGCCCGTCCATCAGTCCCTCTGTTTGGATAAAATGGTAACTGCTAATGAGCTTTGCCCATCCATCCACCACATTTCGGCTACTGTTTTCTCCCTAATGATTTTCTAAGGCGGCAACGCTGCCGGGCAAAACAAAAGACTGAAGCAACAAACTTGATCGAGTGCCAAAACATAACGCAAAATGCGAATTTATTATCATAATAGTTTCGATAAGTGTTCGCTTCGAAAGCTGCTTGGCTTGCTCCTTTGTTACGTTATTCTAGGAAATGTTTTTTCATCCTCGTTGATTGCCCTGCGAATGTGAGATGTTCATTCCCATCGTACAGACAACTCAATTGTATCTGTATCTGTATCTGTAGCAGGTCGTGTCTCAAAACTGGAAATGTAACTTGGAATTGGAATTGGAACTGGAACCGTAACGGGCACTGGACATACACGTAATTAAGTAAATGTATTGTTGGGGTCACCACTGGAGCTGGAGCTGGAGCTGGAGGGGCCGAAAACACATGTCTGTCTGCGCTTCATCTGCGCCTCCCCGTCGGACATTCAGCCCAACGAAATGGTTTATCTCCGCTTCACAGTTTTTCCTCTTTTTTTTCTCTCTCTGACTTCGAACTGGAACTGAAGCTGATACTGGGAAGGGGGACTGGCCAGAAGGCAGGCAGCCAAGGGGACTGGGACTGTGACTGGGCTTGTGGTAATTTAAAATTCATATTTTACACAGCAAAATGCGTAAATGCGTAAATCCGTGAGATGTGCGCCCTGTGCTGAGTGCCGGCGAGTGGCAGTGGTCGGGCGAGAGTTATTAATGGACACACATGCGAGTGAGTCCATATATAATAATATGGGGGGGGTATTCCGTTGCCCCCGGCTCCCCTACCCTACCCTCAACACAAAACTCTTCCACTTGCGAGACAAATGAGCTGGCCTGGCCCACTCTCCGTCATTTGCATACCCTACAAATCTCGGATGCTGCTGCTGCAGCTTCTGGGAATTACGTGGCTATACGGCTATCGTCGGGTGTAATCGGAAACTTTGATGAGATGAAAAAGATATACTATCTGCAGAAGCAGGGATACCGATGAGGCAAGTGCCTACACTTAGGAAGATAAACGATTTCCGTATGATATTTGATATTTGATGGATATTTAGCATGATTCATGAGGATAACTAAACATTTATCTAGATTTAAAATGTTCCCTTTTTTTTAATTTATTATTTTTCTTTTTCTTAGTTAGAAACTTTCTTTTAATGCAGAAATTTTAATTTTATTTATACATTTTTGTGTAGGGTATTTCCGGGCTGTAGCATTCCCTTTCCTCCTGCCATCTTCAAGCTCTGAGCGTTGACTTTATTTAAAATTTAACTCTGTTCGTAAATCGTGTGTCAGTGCTGGGATCCACCACTCTCCACCCTCCCTGCCACAGCACGCACAATGCCTCAGGCCTTAAAACAATTTTTAATTTGTTAAAAATAAATTTTTTTCTTATGTATATTTTTGTTGTTGCTGAGTTGTCGCCTTTGGTTGTTTCTGCGGACCATGTTTAGGGTTAAATGTTAATGAACTTGTTGATTATAAATTTGACTACTTTATTTGCCCATTTCGGACGGGACGGGACGGGACGGCCCGAAGAAAATAGCCAACTAATAGATCGTGCAGATTGGGCCTCGCAGAGCCCCGAAACGAGTTTCATATTTATTGTTATATATGCGGCATCCCATTGCCGATTTTTATTAATTTATATATCCGCCATTAGCAGCCTCCAAAGACCGAAAACAGACTCCGAGAGTCGTAAGAATTTTATGACTTCATCTGCCCCATTCATTTTTTTTGGTGGGGTGGAGGGGCACAGATATTTGCATGCCAAGTCTCCCTGTCTGAGTGTCTGTATCTGTATCTGGCTTTGGCTTTTGTCAAACGTAACTCGTTTTCAATCGTTGGCTCACAGGGGGCCGTGGGGTGGGGTGGGGGGGGAACCTGGCAGCTCCATCATTTTAGCTGGCCAATTTCCGCTGCAAAGCTGTAATTTGTCTAATTTGTGCCACTCGCCGCAAATGGCTTTTCTCAGCTAATTTGTTAATTTGCCTACGCTCCCCTTTGTCTCCGTCTCTCCATCCCTCTCGTGGCCGGGCTCGTTGAGGGCGCTAATTGGCCTGGCCATAAGTGTTTAATATCTTATTTTATTGTTTAAACAATTTGGCGCAGTTTCACTGCAATTAATTTCTTTTTCTGTTGTTCGCTGTCGAAATTTCACTTTTGTTTAAATCGCAAAACTGTCTGGCATTTTCGCGCCGCGTGGCTGGTGAAAGTT